GTGTAATATACACTATTTTGAGAAAAATATAAGCGGTATCTCTTTTTTTCTTTTAACAGCTTTCTTACATTCAAAAGCTAATCGAGCAAGTATGATCTTCATGGAGGATCTGTACAAGATAGATTGGTACATAGAAATGAGAAACAAAAGAAACTGAAAGAGAAATTGGTTCTTTAGTAAGTCGATCACGATTTTCATTGCAATGTCTTTGAACCCATTGGAGGTGGATTGAATCAAATCTCAAACTCCAATATTTGATATCTCTGATAAAGTTATATAGTTTAAAATTCTTCACTATTTTTGTAAGTAGTTGATGGACATATTTATTATCTCCTTCAAACACCATATTTTGAAAACCGCCAATCCATACGATTACTTGTTGTAATGCCATGAATAAAGCTTGTAGTTTCGCTTCAAATACTGTAACACATTGTTGACCTATACAACTATATTTTGTCCTCCTCCAAGAAAAGTTCATGCATAATCCCGCAAAATCCAAACTCCTTATCAACTTGATATTGACAATCATAGTTGCATGTTAATTGAGCCAATATCCGGTTTGTCTCAGTGAATTGATCATTGTTGTGCATCAGAATGAGAAGAATCACATATACGATTATCATTATCCAAAACAAGCGATAAATCTTTCTGAAAAAAAATAGACCACATAAATATGAAAAATACTTTTTTTGTACAAAACTATTTTTTTAACATTCCATGAACAGAAATTGTACACTTTGCCACAAAAAGACATGAAACCTTTTGATAATTTCCAAATAAGTACAACAAGTCTATACAACTTGAAGCGTAGAACATGTGGTGTGTGATCTTGTTATTCTTGTGGAAATGTTTGTCATTTTCCAACTCTTTGTTCGAAATTTTAAAGGTGGGATCAAAGACAATTTGTTGCCGACTTGATAATACGTCGGCGTATCGAAAAAACCGAAAGAAAGTTTGATGAACTTGATGAGTTTATTGAGAAGATTACAGCTTTTAAATCTCGGTTTCAAAATAATTTTTTTGAGTCTCATCCTCAGCTTCATCACATGATTGATGAGATGGAAAGACTAGTGAAAATTATTCGTTGGTATAACGTTATAATCTGTTTTAATCGTCATCTTGGTTTTGATGTCGAATTCGTGTTTAAGGCAATGGTTATTTAAATGAGTTACGCTGAAAAGGAGCAAATGAAGTCGTCAAGTTTTATCTCAAGGACAAGGGCCCTCTCTCTTTGTTGGAATTCTATGAGCCACTTTTGATATGTGATTTGTTTCATCGGGACTTCATGAATGACAATGATAAGTATACAACGACATCGAAAGTGATGAAAATATGGGTTTTTCTCTGTGGAAGGCGTAGACAATATTGCTATAATATTTGTGTTTGTTTGATACAAAGTATTATATTTTGGTGTAACGGTTTGACATTTGTATTACAACATAAATCATGCGGTTTTTCTGTTGCGTGACGATGTGGAAAAGGCTATGAAGATTGTGGAAGATTATTTCATCAAGTATGCCCCAGAAAGAATCTCAGAATTGACACAGAGGATGATTTCGGACCTCGATGACTCTCTCATCCTGAAAAAAAGATCTAGAATATTATTGGACTGAGAAATCGAGTGTATGGACTGTGGAAGCCGAATTTCTCACTGGAAAATGAAGAATGGTTACCGCACTCGAGATCATATCTTGTCTTTTTTCTTTCTCTCTTTTAACAATGATACTAGGAGATGTCCCAGGCTACGCCCTGGTATATTTTTTTTTGTAGATTTGTTTGATATTTTGATTTGAATAAAATTATGTCATGGTAGTTTTTGTGATTTTTTTGGTCCAATATATATGCATATGTTTTTCACATATAAAAATAAATAAATGATAAGTTGTAATCATAAAAACTAGATGATTAAAATTTAAATTAATTGAAATATATATAGAGCATGAAATTTATCTAAAATATATATACAACATAGGTATACAATTTAATTTTTGGATACATTTTAAGTTATTCTTAAACTCATTTCTTACCAATAATTCTAAATAAATTCGGTATAATTGTTTCCATTTGTTTATGTATATTTTTTCCTTCTCTAAACAGTATTTGATTCATCAACTTCTTTGATTGCAATCAACCCTTGTGCCAACCATGTATACGAACTCAATTAGTCACTTTGAAATTAATTTTTGTCGTTGATTTCATTTTTATAGTTCTAAATGTAGTGTTTTCTTCGATTAATATGGTCGTTAGTATAGTAATCTTTCACAACGCTTTATCTTTGTTTGCCGTCTTATACGTCCTTAATCTTTAGGAACAAAACATCTTCTGCATGTCCTTTGCAACCTCTTCGCTAAAGCTAGCTACTCTAACTATGGTTTTGCCGTTTGTTCTCTCTGGTTAAGCAAGCACCAGATTAGACTCCCTTTAAATTTACTGTAACTTCCTTTGTTTTTTTTTTAATATATCTTTTTGATGATGTATGTTTAAATATATGAGATATCCTAAAAATAAAACTAAGCAAAATTATCTGCAAAAAGTTATATTTTTCCAGTGTGGTTAAAACATCTATAAATTCCTCTATAGTGAAATATTTATTTTAGTTTGGTAAGAGTGATTTTTTGAAGTTAAAATGGCAAAACTAGTTCTCACAGTTTATAATAAATCCAGAGGTTTAAAAAAGAAAACAAAATTATATAGTTCACTCCTAATTCAATCACAAACAACAGATGATTTGATGAAGAGTGGAAGTACTCATCTAAACAACCGTAAGTGCTCTTCCAAACATGCATAAACATGCATGAATAACAACTTGGAGTGATGCCTCCACATGAGCAAAACGAACATGAATTCAATCAATATATGTGTTAGATTCGATTTCAATAACCCATAATTATGTTGAGAATTGAGTCCATGATTAAATATTGTAATATCATATATGTTATAGTTTGTATATATGTAAAGTCATCTCATGCACATGATTTACTACGAAAGGGTGTGTGTAAGACACGTAACTTGTTGGATAAGTTACAACTATTACCAACGGTTAGCTAGAGTTACAGTTATGTAAAGACCTATATATATAAATGTGTACAATGTCTTGATGTAAACTTTTTTTTTTTTGTTAAAAGGTAAATGTTAATTATAATCCTAGCGAATGATTTCATGGTAAAAAAAAATAAAAACATGAAAATCATAATTCATGAAGATTTTCAGTCCGCCGCTCGACATTGATCTGAAGGCTAATGGAGCAAGACAAAGTGATGACGATGTTGAAAGCTCATCCAAAATCAGTTGGGGCAGAGATGTTCGAAGGCAAAGCACGAAAACTGCAATTACCAAAACCCGAAGCAATAAAATTCGTTTAAAACTTCAACGACCTCGATCACCAACTCCTCTGTCTTGATGTAAACTTGTCGAGAATAAAAGGAAGTTTTCCATATTTTACTATTTTCTTTTATTCTCTTCCAACAAATTAC